CCATTTCCCCAGCCTCCTTCCCAGGCACAGAGCTGCAACCCTGGGAGATTCCCATTCCTGATGAACGTGTGCTTGCCATTAATAGAAAGAAGAAATAGCCTCAGCCATCTCCCACAAGCAATGGGGTGAGCCCTGACAGTGTTAAGCTGGCTGTGAGAGGCAGCATCAAGAAATCACAAAGTTCAGAGGCTCAGCATCTGCTCAGGCCAAGACAGAAGCTTCTGTGAGCTGGTGGGCAGCTAGTTTTCACTCCATAATGCTGCACAGGATCCCCGTGGTATTTGCTGCTACCTGGCCATGATTACATTTTTCTCTGACGTTATTATGGTCTGGCGATAAAGCTATTCCCATTACAAAAATAAACCATGTAATGGGGGAGGTGGGGAACAAATAAACAAGTCAGTCTTTTTCTTTTATTTAGCTTAGACAAATTAATGGCACTTCTGTTGCTCTCGCAGGCACATTATTAATTGTTTTCCTCTAGTGATGCTAGCAGCCCCTGATTATAAAGGGAAAACAACAAGTAAAGAAGGAGAAATGTTTCCTTTCAGGAAATTTTCCTGATTACTTGGTAACAGAAGACAGAACAGACAGTTTAGATGATTTTTCACTTTTTAAAATTGTCTTTCATATCATTGCGATGCAATTTATAAGACACAGCATGTGAAGGCATATACATAAAGAGCATTTTTTTTTTTTAATATGCATCTTAAGGGCAATGTATGTGTCTATGAATTTTTAGTATGTGAACAAGCAACTTCCATATTAACTTGCATGCAAAGTAATAGATAATTTCATAAGATGAATATACTAAGTACTGCTTAGATGCCATTTTAGCTTGCAAATTGCACATTTTTTCCCATCTGAGCCAGAAGCAGAACTGATGAGTAATTTTTCAGTTTTGGGGTTGATCAAAAAACTAGCAAACAGATGAAAACATCATTTCAGGTGGACTCTAAGGTTATGTTTTTTCAGATGGTCTTTGTTCAGAGTAATCAAAATGATTTTTTTTCTCCCTTAAAAGCAAAAAATGGCCACTTTTAAGCAAAAACATTGTTCATAGCTTTTTGACTATGTAGAAAAGAAATGTTCCTATTTTTCCAAAAATATGCTTATTTAAGCTAAAAATAAAAATCTCTCTCTCTTTTTTTTTTTTTTTTTTTTTGAGCTAAAATTCGTGATCAGCTTTGGTA